AACTTCAATTTATTTCATTTTCATCGCTTGGTTACATTTTTATTTTAGTTTGATAACATGGGATAATATGAATGGAATATCCAAAAATGCTATAAATTCTGAAAGACGGAAGTTTAAAAGCTACAAGCTTGATGAAATTGTGGAAATGTACGGGCAAACTGATTTTTTATTTTAATTTTTTTTGTCAAGGGTTGTACTGATTTGGTATCATTTAGTATACCATATATTCTGAACAAGAATTTGTTTCTGTTTATTGACTATTTATATATCTTTATGCATAAATGTATATTTGGTTGTGTGCATGTCCGTCCAATGCAAGAATTCTCTCCAAAAATGTACGGACACGTGGATTCTTTTGTTGTTGCAATTTGTTGCACTTTCGAGTTGTTGCAATTATTTGTGCATAATTATATATGTTCTTTCCAGTACTCATTTTATCTAATTTAGTCAGATTATAGCATCATGAATTCGAAGTCAATAATATTTTTACATGACAGAAACTTGTCGTAAGTTAACTGCTGTCTTTGGATATTTTCCATATAGGAGGTCACCTGGAGTAGGGCGTGGAAGAGGAAGAGGTAGAGAGGATAGCTCTAAAGCAAAAGGCATTGGTCATGGTTTGGATGATGGAGCTGCTAAAAACACAGGAGGAGGTCGAGGCAGAGGTGGAAAATTCAAAATTTAAAATTTTTTTTTTTCAAGTTTGCGACGGAAAAGCCGTATCTAATTACCAACACACTTAAATCCGTAGGTAATTTGCGACGGAAAAATTGTAGCTAATACCGGGACTAATCAGCTACAATTTTGCCTGTCGCTAAACACCGACGGAATATTTCGTCGCTAATCATCGACGGGCAAAGAATTTCGTCGGCAAAATTACCGGCGGCGCGTTTTACCGACGGATTTACCGGCGGCGCGTTCTAGTAGTGTGTGTGGTTAGAAAGTATAGAAATTCTTTGAGTATATGAGTGAAATATTTTATTGAGTGAATGTATGATTGAAAATGAATATAAAAAATAAATTAAAATAAATTAAAGGTCATCAAACTGGGGCTAAATGTCAAATATAATTAGTTTTGTCATGTATAAACTTAGGTTGATGGAGTCCACGATTTTTTATTAAACATGGGCCCCTGTTGTGAGGGGTGTCAATCAGTGTATAAATACCAAAACCTAATTAATTATTGAAGTATTAATTTGAAAAGCTATGCTAGTGGTACATAATTTGTCTTACCCAAGAGTGTCCATCCTCTCACATATGATGGACCTCGCATGATTAAAAAAGGAATTTTATTCATTTGGGGTCCACCCCATGTGAGAGGGTGGACACCCTTAGGTAAGACAAATTATATACAAGTAGAATTTTCCAAATCTGAAATGGTAAAATTGTACTTATCAATCTAAGGATACAACGGTATATTTAAAAGGTAAAACTTCCTGTGTATGAATTATTTCCAATTCTTCCCCATAAACAAATATAAATACACGTAACATGTATAAACAAATCAGGTTTTCTTATTTTCACAATTACACTCTAAACAACAAACCTTTCTGCTTCCTCACTCCCACAAGTATGTCCCTCTAATAGATGGTTGCAAGGTGTCCATTATGGACACCTTGATGTATCTCTTGATGTACATATAGAACAACCCAACCCCACCCTCATGTGAGGGGAGTGTCAAACTTGTTGTACACAAAAGTGCACAACAAGAGTTATCCTTTATATTATTATAAATTTCTATTAAGAAACTGGAGTCTTTGTTTGATTTGATTTTGTCCTATTTATTTTATCAATAGGGAGTCGTCTTTAGACTTTATGATTTATCATAAAAAAAGAGAGAAAGAGGCGCTAGACAAGATATGAGTGCAATTTTCTCGCGTAGTTTTACATTGGCTAACCTCAATAAATCTTGAGTGTTTTTTAATGTTTATTTTTCTTTCTTCAAATCTATTGTTTTCGGTGGAATAGAATTAGAGTTTATAATACTCAACATTGACACAAAAAATAAGTCCATTATTTTCATTATGCTCCGTGGGTTTGTTGTTTCCAAACTTGAACATAATAGCAAAAAAATCACGTAGTTCGTGTCAAATTTATTGAAAACAAACTTAGTGCTTATTTGGTTTCAATTATATTTTCTTTATAACTTGAAGTCAAAGTCAAACATTTAACGAGACATTGACAACTATTAGCCACACATTTTGAGAGATCCATTACCCTTCAATATAATCTCATTATAGCTTGTGCTATTTCTTTTGACATGGACTCTTGGGAACCTATTTTGTTCTAGAAAACCCTTTTCGTGCATGGGCGAATAAATGTGCTTTTATTTGAATTGTTTGTTAGAAACTGCAAAATTGATTTGGAAGCTAAACGCCCTTATTTTTTCTTTTCTACCACATAAAGAATAACAAGATATGTATAAGAAACGAAGAATCACAAGAATAACAAGAAAATTCACACTATTGAAGACTAGTTATAAAATAAATGTGTTCCATTTCGAACAAGTTATGGTGTGGTTCAACATGGACAAAGCTCATAAGTAAAAATCTTATTGTCATCCTTCTATGAATATTGTGTACACGTTATTCATTTTACAAGAATAAATCCAGCAAACAGCTTCTTGGGGGGTGGGGGAGTGGGGTTGAACCCTAAATCTAAAGAATAAATGGGTCTCCTTGCCAACAAAATTTTAGATGAGTTGGTTCAATATGTACGCCTTAGCTTTCATGAGGCTCATGCTTGAAGGAGAGCGCCTCAATAAGTCAAAGCATAAGCCTTCCCACAAGGCACTCGAAACTAAGGTTTGAGGCTCCTAATATACACACAAGAAGCTCTTTAAGGCGTGTGCCTTCGGCACCTTTGACTCTTTGATACAGTATGTAAAAATGGCCTTTTTGAGATGCTCTCTCACCATTTTTCAAGGTTGAAATAGGGTGGTTGATATTCCGAGGGATACTATGCATAAGGAATGGTAGAAGTTGTAGGAGAAGACATTTTTATTTTACTATGCCCCATGCATATATTGGTGCTGTTATGAAAAATTTATAAATATAAGGGAGGTTTAGTTATTTTTGCTTCTGATATTGTCTATTTTATTTGTTGCAGTGTATTAAAACACACATTTCTCTTTTCACTCTTACTGCCTCTCAATTGGTTTTCCAGCTAGTCTCTTTGTGTGACAATTTAGTGAATTAGATAATGAACAGACTTGGTACTTTTTGTTGTTCCAGCAAGTAAAAAGCATGCTTTAGGAAATGTTGATTAAGATGTCTGTACCTCTTAGATGTCCATTTTAGAATGATTGTTCAAAAGCTATTACACAAGCTCCAGTCAGTACTCATTGAACATATGCCACAACCTGATAATTGTTCGATCTTGATTTGAGCAACGATAATACATGTTAAGTTCTTGGCCTTGAAGATTTCTTCTTAAATCTCTCAATTCTGTTGTGTGATCTGGGTTTAAGTTAAAAAGTGGCAATTCCGATTACCTAATTTGAATTTAAGCTGTCTTTGCGACCTATTGAGTAAATCCAATCTGAGTTATCTTTTATGCAAGATTTGTAGCGTAGGAGAATAGAGATTGGAAGCAATTCATTACCATCTGGAGCAGATATGATGAAGAGAAAAGTGTGCTACTTTTATGATCCAGAGATTGGACTACTATGAGCAAGGTCACCCAATGAAGCCACATAGGATGCGGATGACTCATGCTCTCCTCACACAATATGGACTACTACAACATATGACTGTATTTAAGCCTAGTCCCGCTCGAGAGAGGGATCTGTGCAAGTTTCATGCGGAAGATTATGTCTCGATCTTGAAAAGAATCACGCCAGATAAACAGCAGGATTACCTGACACAGCTGAAGAGATTTAATGTTGGCGATGATTGCCCTGTTTTTGACGGTCTTTACTCCTTCTGTCAAAGCTATGCTGGAGGTTCTATTGGAGGAGCAGTTAAGTTAAACTATGAACGTTGTGACATTGCGATAAACTGGGCTGGTGGATTGCACCATGCAAAAAAATGCGAGGCTTCCGGTTTCTGCTATGTGAATGACATAGTTCTGGCTATTTTGGAGCTCCTCAAGTTTCACGAGGTTGGTCCACTTGGTTCTCGTTTTTTAACATTATACATGATAGCACTTAGCCTGACTTAATCTTGACTAGTACATCTTGTTTACTCTATACTTACCTTCGTAAATCCGATGTGGTTTATTTGATTTGTTGTTTAGGGTGCAATTCACTCAAACTTAGTTGCTACCTGTACTAGCCTTCTTGTAAGAAAGGAACATCAAGGCTATCTTAAATTATCATCCTCTTCCACTCATTGTTCAAAATACATATGTAGTTAGTCTTATACAGCGGTTAATAACAAACGAAATTCACTTAGTGATAAAGCATCCTCATCGTGTTTCCCTTATCCGATATTATTGAAGGCATAGTTTGAACAGATTAAATTTCTGACAATATGTTACATAGATGTTAGTTCAAAATTTCTATAAAATAAAAATCTTTAGTGAAAGTCTAAACTCAAATCTCATTCCTGCCACATAATTTAATAGTTTCTTGCTGCTTAACTATCAAGAACAATCTTTCGGTAAGATTTTGTTAGTTTGTTGGTACTCTTAACTTAATGGTGGCTAATGACTTGCTCAGTTACACATTCCTGAATGTGATTTCTCATTTTTTTTCATTGTTTCAGCGCGTTTTATATGTGGACATCAATGTTCATCACGGAGACGGCGTTGAGGAGGCATTTTATACTACAGACAGGGTCATGACCGTCTCTTTTCACAAATATGGAGAATATTTCCCTGGCACTGGCGGCATAGAAGATATTGTATTTGGGAAGGGGAAATATTATGCTGTTAATGTTCCATTAGATGATGGAATTGATGATGAAAGCTATCAGTCCTTGTTTAAGCCAATTATGAGAAAGGTTATGGAAGTTTATAGGCCCGGAGCCGTCGTTTTACAATGTGGAGCTGACTCCTTATCTGGGGATAGGTTAGGCTGCTTCAATTTATCCATTAAAGGTCACGCGGAGTGTGTCAGATTCATGAGATCCTTTAACGTGCCGCTTCTTTTGTTGGGTGGAGGTGGCTACACACTACATAATGTTGCTCGTTGCTGGTGCTATGAGGTATGTGGTAACCTTTATCACTGGCAACTTTTTTTCTTTCTTATTTTCATTATTGTCATCTTTGATTGAATATTGTCTTTTCGATTTTTGAGCAGACGGGAGTGGCACTAGGAATTGAGGTTGACGATAAGGAGCCAGAGCACGAATACATTGAGTATTTTGGTCCAGACTACACCCTTCATGTTGCTCTAAGTAACGTGAAAAATAAGAACTCTAGTGAAAAGTTGGATAGAATAAGAACAAAGCTCCTTGATAATCTCTCGAGACTTCCGCACGCACCAAGTGTACAGTTCCAAGAACGACCGCCTGATACTGAAATCCCAGAGGTTTGTTTTCACTATCGTTTACTTATTTACTATCCGTTGCATATCTTTCATGTATTCTTATTAATTCCTGAAAATGTCACCGCTGAATAGGGGTGGACGTTGTTCCATTTGATTCTGGTTTTAAGAGAACCGAACTGAACTATGAACCAATAGTTTTTTTGATAATGGAACCAAATAGTTTTTTTTTAAGATGCGGAACCGAACCGAATCGAACCATTTGATTCTGGTTCGATTTGGTCTGGTTCTAGTACTATTATTTAAATTTTTAGACTTGCATCATATCCATAAGTTACTAA